CCCTCCCCTCAGCCGAGCCCCGGACGCCGCACCAGAATTGGGGGGTGGGTGGGTCCCGTCTCTCCCCTCTCGCGCTGTCCGAGGTCTGAAGCGCACCCGGCTTCTCCTCCACCTCCCACCTGCCGGGGAGACCCTTCCCCACCCGGAGGTCCCCCTCGCCGGCTCTTTACCTGCTGCTGCGGCTGCTGCTGTGCCCGGAGCCCCAGCTGTCGGCCAGGCGGGCCAGACCCCCGTGGCTGCCGCTTTTATACGGCCATCTCCGCCTCGGACGCTTCGCCTTTATTTACAGGCAAACAAGAACCGTCCGGCTGCCCGCCGCCGCCTCCCTCTCGCACCCGCAACCCGCCGCCCTGCCCTCTCTGCCTCGGAACTCAGGGGTCGTTGGGTGGGCTGGGGGAGCCTGTGGGGGAGCCATACATGATCATTGGGGTTCGCTCTCCCCCTTGGGAAGCAGGCACACCCCTCTTTCTACACCCCTTGGAAAACTGGGTACACGGCTGAATGACCATCTCCCCCAAGGATCCGGTACCCAAAGTAGATAGATTCAGGTTAACAGAGTTGGAAGGGACCTTGTAGAAGTCATCTAGTCCAACCCCCACCCCACCCCAAGCAGGAGACCCCACACCATTTCTGACAGATGGCAGTCCAGTCTCTTCTTGAAAGCTTCCAAGATATGAAGCAGAAAAGGGGCTCTTTGGATCTTGGAGGAGACCCTACTTAAAAGCTGGGAAAAGTGGGGAGTGGGCACAGACATACCCCTTTTTCCAGTTTTAAGTAGGGTCTTCTCTAAGATCCAAAGAGCCGCCCCGCAGGTTCCCTTGTCCACTTTGGGTACTGAATCCTAATAAATAAACTAATAATCCTAATAAACACCCCCCTCCCAATACCCTACCACCCCCACCACCCCCAAAAAGGCAACTGGACTTTTTTGTTTTTTTTTCCGTTGGAAAATTTTTCCCTTCTCATCCAACGACTGAAACTTCTTGGATGAGAAGCAAAATGTTTTTAAGGGGGGACCCCCCCTAAAAGTCGTTTCCTTTTGGAAAACCTTTTGAGAGTGAGGATAAAAAGGCGAGTGGCAGGATACAAATCCAAAAAGCCAGTTCCTGTTTTTCTTCAGTGGGGGGGAGGAAAAAATGAGCAATATCTAATTCTGAAGTTCCCCGTTTCTGCTTGAAGACCAAATCGAGTTAGATCTTCTCGTCTCCCTGCCTCTCAAAGGCTATATCGACGCTGTAATATCGATTTTTACCAGAGAAAGTTGCGTTTGAAACAAAATGTGTCTTTGAGAGAGAATGCGATTGTGGATGCCTACTTCAGAGAGTTGAAGTCCACCCATTTTAAATTGCCAAAGCTGAGGAACAATGACCTGGATCACTGGTCTAGGATTTCATTTCATCTCCCAATTAAGGGCGTGTTCAGGCGTTCATGCTCTCTGAGCTCGGTTGTTTTCTTGCAGATGTTTCATTACTCAACTAGGCAACATCAGTGCCACCAGTAGTAAGGAGTGAGGTTTGAGGTCTTTGAGGAAAAAAGAAGAGAAAAGTGCGGGAAAGAAAAGGGGGGAAAAAAGAAAGAAAAGGCATTCACTTTCTACTCCGTTAGTGCAATAGAATAAGGCATTAACATCAAACCTCAACTTTTTACTTTTACATAATAATATAAACTAGCCATTTCTAGAACAATAAATCTACCTCATCAGTAAATCCCAAAAACAAAGTTTCGGGTTTTTTTCCCACCTCAAGCACAAAATCCAGAAGCGGGTTTCCAAGTAGAAATAAAATTATTTGTATTTTTTTTCCTTTGATCAAAGCTGTCAATTGAGCCATCTCTGCTAACAATTTTTCCAGCCGTTATGACCTTCCTTTTCTGTGCATAGCATAAACTTGCTGCTGTCAACATATATCAAATCAAAGTTCTGAATTTTTTCCATCAAACCCCAAAGAAAAATCTCTGGTTTTCTCTTTATATTCACTTTTAAGAATTTGCTGTATTTCAGGTATGAATCCTACTCCACTATTTCTTCGCTTTATCACATGTCCACCATAAATGATAAAAAGTCCCCTCTTTGCATTTAACAACATTCAGTTCAAATGCCTTTTATGCATTCTTGATAACTTGCCTGGAGTTCAATATCCATGATAACATCATCTTATAGACGTTTTCTTTTAAGTTATAATTTAATGTAAATTTTAAACCTTCCAGGTATGCTCCTATTGTTCAAGCATTACATTATATCCAAAGTTCCTCACCCTCACTGAATCCTACAGTGCTTTTTCCTCGTTCGTTTTCCAAGTTTTAAATTCAATAACATTTTTTATAGACTTTGGCAATAATACGTTCGGCAGGAGAGAGATTCCCAGAATTCCTCACAAGGCTGAGAAACACTGATTCAGATCTTAAAAGCAGCATTATAGCAACATGATCCCACCCTAAGGGATAGAGGACAAGAGCAGAAAAGCAGCAGCCTGCCAGATATAGGTAGTCCTTGACTTACAACCACAATTGAGCCCCAAACTTCTGTTGCTAAGTGAGACATTGGTTAAGTGAGTTTTGCCCCATTTTACAACCTTTCTTGCCGCAGTCTTTAAGTGAATCACTGTAGTTGTTAAGTTAGTGACATGATTGTTCAGGGAATCTGGTTTCTCCCATTGACTGCTTGTCAGGTCACAAAAGGGGATCACATGACTCCTGGGACATTGCGACCGTCATAAATACAAGCCAGTTGCCAAGCGCCTGAATTTTGATCATGTGAATTTTGAGCATGCTGCAATGGTCATTAAGTGTAAAAAATTGCCCATTTTTTTTTTCAGTGCCGTTGTAACAGTCACTAAATGAATGTTTGTAACTTAAGGACTACCTGTATTCAATCTCATACGCTTGCAGTCTTGACACAATGCAAACTCCCTACAGGTAGACTAGCCAAAACTGAAGTGAAAAAGTGTCAAACTGCACACAAGCATTAAACCTTTGGTTGCCTCCTAAATCAATGTTACAGCTGAGTGTCATTTTCCTGATACTGCAACACTGCATTTCATCCGATTTCCCATTGTTTGTTTTGAGGCTGTTCAGCGGTTTTAAACATGAATGGAACAGAAACTCTAACTAGTTCCTTGAAAGCCTACTACATTCTCAGAAAGCTTCCCTGGGAAACTACTTTACTGTTCTCCATCCTTATGGAGGGGTTTCCACAATAGTTACTAAAGAATTGAGCACAGGCAAGTCTTTGTGCGCAACAGTGAAAACACCTGGCCTGGCTACCGTCTGGCTAAACCGAACGAGCCATATAATGGGACTCTTGTTCACCGTCAAAATCCATACAGGTCCTTTGTGTCTCTCGGCTCTTCAAAATAACTACATAATCCCAAATATTTTAGATGTTTGTAGAGTAACTTGAGACCAATATGAGCATTATACCAGAGCTGTTTTACTAAGTGCATACTGTATGGAAAAGCTACTGCCAATTTATTGTTGTTGTTCCCTTTAGCAATTTTCAACCTATGGGCGATCTTTCACAACCATTAATTTGCAATATGCTTATGCTACCCGTATCTTCACATTGCAAGGATGTGGTACCTCAGCAAACTAAAATTTATTCTTCCCACTGCAAGGAACTTTACTATTTTATGACAGACTGACAGATACATAAGATAGAAGATAGATTAGATAATGATAGCTAGATATAAAATGTAGACAGACTATAGATGGATAGATTTTGTGTGTGACATTGCACTAGAATTTCTCCAATAGTAGTTGTCTGTGCCTTTTCTGTTTATTTAATCAGGCCTTATATTCCGGTGAGTTGCCTTTCCTATAGGGAGAAATTTCCCTCCAAATATAATATGAAGTATAGTATCTTCAAAAATAAGCATCCAAAAAATATTTAATTAGCACTGTCAAGAGATGTGTATCTTGGCACCTGCTGACAGAATTCTGCAGATTTCTCCATTTTAGACTACATTTTCCAAACTTGAAAAATATGCTGTACTAGATTAATTCAAAAGGCAGATTGGATAATATTCATAATTTCCATGAAATGCAATTTATTTCATAACATGGAGACAGAAGAATGTAACTTTATTTTTCTCATTCAATGTATTGTGTAACCTTTGCTTCTTCTTAATCCCTACTTAATATAGAAGTCACCATTTACCACTACAGGATGTGATGCAACCCCAAACAAAACTAAAATTGTTTTCTTAAACCTTAAGAGACAAATGAAGGTTTGGAAACTGTAATTGGTCCCGATCACAATAAAGAATAGATTAGACACCCTGCTACCAATTGTATATTCTCAATTAGCAGAGTATTTTTTTTTTCATCCCTTTCAGTCTGTTCCCTTACAGCACATCGTATCAATATTCAGTTAGGGTTACCATAAAATGTAATCTGTAAGAGTTTTTAAAATGCCTTCATTATACATTATACAACCTTCCATTTCTTAAAAACGTTGTTTCTGACTGAGTCAAGATCCTCTAAGACAGTGAGATGAAGTGATTGCAACTACTATGAATTGCACAGGTAAGTGGGAATCAAATTCAATGCTTTGGTCTCTCAGAATAGAATATAGGCTCAGAATATAGGTTCCTATAAGCCTATAAACTGTAAATATTTGCTTTACTTTAAAATAAATTATTTCAATTTTTGATGCAAGTTTATTCGAGGCAAATGTAGTCTTGAACCCCTGCATCCAACCAATTTTGTCCAACTCATTTCTCATATAGTTATGTCTGAGTTACAAGAAATGTTCCTTTATAAAGACCAAACAAAGTTTAAACATCTCTTTATTAAGAAACAAACATTCAAGTAAAATAGTGACACAAATGTGGAAAAGGCAACCCTTTCAAATGGGAATAATGAAAGCAGTAAGCTGCCTTCAGGTTTGTATTCAGCAGCGTTTCCCTGTGATAGCAGAAGCAAATGGTAAAACAATTTTCAGCGCTTGCAAATTATCTTTGTAAAGTTGCTCAGGACGGTTAAGAGAACTTCTGGAACTTCCTCAGAAGAGCCCCTCTTTTTACCTAAAACCTCTGTTTGTATCCTCTGGAAAAACACGTTGGAATCCAACCCAGCATAAGAACAGTGCAATTAATCACAGAAAAGGCAACTTAGTAAACACTGATAATCCCCCCCCCCCTCCAAAGCATTATCTACCTTGACACATGAGATCCTGGCAGATACCTATGCAAACTCTTGAACAAATGTTAAGTGAAAAAAATTACAGACTGGAACTAAATTTATAGATCTCCTTCAATATATAAAAATAAAGTACACAATCCTTCTCTGGTATGACATCCACCAGATGTGGTTGGGCAGAAATTCCCCAAATGGGGAAATCAGCAGGTTATTTTAAGAACAGTAGTCTTAAAACATCTGGCTCAGACAGGCTGCTTTGAACCAATTTCATTATTCCTACCGATTGTCTAATTTCACCTGTATGGTTAGATAACGTCACTATGCTAATTCTTGTACTGATCAAATTTGATGACGTTCCTGATCATTTCTAGCAAAGAGGATTTAATTCATCTTAATCTTATGCTTGAAGTAATATATAAAGTAATTTCCACATCAGGACAATACTTTGGATCTAAACCTTTTTTTAAAAATAATATCTCAGAGTAGCAACTAAGAATTCTTTAAAATGATTTATATCCTCCTTGTCGGATTAAAAAAATAACACATATTGGCATTCAATGTACCACTTAATGGTGTAAACTTATGAATAGTTCCTTGCACCCAGAGATGTAGACGTGGTGTTTGAACAGTAATCCACTGTATGAACTCATCAGTATTTTGTAACCAAACAGAGTTTGTAACAAGGAATCACTGCAGTTTTTGGTATGACTAACGTAGATTTGGCAAAAACATTGCTGCAAAATTTAAAAGGTCTAGGAAATTGTTAAATTATGTAATTTCAGCAATGAATGCAGTAAATTTATTTAAAAAAAAACCCCAAAAGCTTTTCCATATATACCTGTAAAGTAAAAACCAACCAAACAAACAATTCAGGTTGCTGCGCACATTCTTGTTCTGCTTTAAAGATCTTTCTTACTGCAGGCTCCCATTGTTTGTTGCTGTAATGATGAACAGATGTATGAAAAAAATAGTATAATTATTATATGGTTAATTTTCATTGCAAAATCACACAAGGAAAAAAATCACAGATGAAGAAGAGCCACTATAATACACCAAGTTTAGTGTATTTCCTTTGGTATACATACCAAAGGAAAGTAAAACTTGTGCGTTTGAGATAAAATCTGAAGAGGACTTAAACACATAAATCATAATTCAAAGATGAAAATTCACTATGGATGAGTTTTCTCTATCTCAAAAGGGTTTTAGCTATTTCCTAAGAAGCATTTTTCATCTGTATTTTGAATTCAATATTTTTTTAAATCTAAGTGTTTTTTTAGAAAGCAAATTCAGTAGACCTGAGAATTTCCTTTTTTCCCCTTCTCCACCACATTGCCATGCTAGGAATACCAAGTTACTAAAATATTAATAAAGTTAATTGTTTAAAAGAAAATAAGCTTCATTCCAACAAGTGTTCTAAACACATTAAGGAATTCCCATTATTCTGAAAGAGTACTGTATACTGAATTAAAAATGCCTTTATGAATGTTGTCTTGGATGAGACACAACGTCTGAATTTTAAAAGTTCTGCTTGAGCAAATGAGATGCCTCTGGCTCCTACCTGTAGTTTTTCATGTTCTTTTACAAGGAGGTCGTATTCTTTTTTAAGTTCTTCAGACTGCTTCTTAGCAGTAATAATTTCATTTCTTGTTTTGAAGAGAGCTGTAAGATATAGGCGTGATCCTATTCATCACATATCACTGCATTTTTATTAAAACCTCTATCCACTGAAGAATGCCATTCTCAAAAATGAAATTATATTTTTAAAATGAGAATGAAACTGGCAAGGGCTTTTAGACAGATGGCAAAGGATGAACTGAAATTTGAATACTTCCAAAGCATATTTGACAAATAATGCATTTTACCTGAAAAGTCAGAGCAATTGAAAACAAAACTGAAAAACTTTTGCATATAGAAAATAAAGGATAGGAAAAGTAGCTTCAGATTGAGAAAAAGAAATGGAGAGGAGACAAGAGTATAATTTTTATATATTTATATACACAATTGACATATTTCTTAAGGCTTATTTAAAAAGCACACTCTTTGTTTAGTAGACCAGCTGGAGGAGAATATAAGATAAACCCAATAATCTATAAATGACTTTGTTTACATTAACCTGCATCATTGTGCAATTATAGAAGCGACATAATTATATCAATCATGCAATCACATGATTAAATAGATTACATAATTTTATGTAAATGATATAATTTACATGAATTATCCAGGCTTTGTTGTTAATATACTTGTCCATTATTTGGTTATGGAAGAAAACATCTGTTGTATTCAATTCTCTGTTAATAAATATTAATTACATAAGTTTAAAATTTGCCACAGGAAGATATTAATTTTACAATTTACGATATAATTTTTTATGTTAATGAAAATGCCATAGTATTAGATTGCAAAACAGTTCTTTCTGATAACTTGATCTTACAGTAACAATTACTATATGCTTTAAGGAGGACAGGCAAAACCTTTTGGTTGTAACTAAAAACAGTGCTATCTCTAAACATAACCAAGATAGCTAGGGATAGTTGCACATTCACTACATTGTTATTCTATTTTGACAAAAATATACTTGTGGCAAGATGGGTGAGGTCTTCTCAGTAGAAGAATGTCAAAGTTCACGCGTTAAAAAATCTTTAGCTTTGGGCTGTGACTAGTAACATTATATTTGGAAGTGGGCTAGCATCCCTATGAACTACACAGAAGGTAGCCTCAGCTTCCTGATCGCTTTAATACTGCAATAAACATTTTTTTTAAAAAAATTACTGGCGCTCCTCTTTTTCCAAGCAAAATGATCCATAGAGAGCATGAAGTTAATATTTCGAATAGAATTTCTACCACCTTTTTTTCCAGCAAATAGCCACAAGACCCACCAAACCACTGAAATTGCATTTTGCAATTGTTTTGTATTATTATTATTGTTGTTGTTATTATATATACAACAATGTGAAGTCACAGCTACAAGTATTGGCCCTTCATATACATTGAGTTCTTTTCAAGAACCTAGGATTTCATCCCACAATGGAGGAAGAGCTGGGAAAACTAATGGAATTAGTAGAGATGGCTATATTAACTGTTGTAATCCAAGAAAAGAACACATCCAATTTTATTTCTACTTGAAAACTGTTTCCAGATTTGAGAAAAACAAAATGTTGACTGGGTTTTGCTGATTAGATAAATTTGTTGTTGTAGGAATGGCTAGTACATATTAAGTGCGTAAAAGTAAAAACTTGAGCCTGTAATGTTTTTATGTTATTCTATTGTGCTAAAGAGAGTCTATACAGATCCAGGCAATGTGGCCTTTCGTAACTGACAAAGATATTTTATCACTGTGCGGATAATAGTATTTGAATTTTTTTGGTGTGTGGCACCTGGTGTGTAGATAACTACAGAGACCACAACAGCCCCGTAATGCTATAATCTTTCAGCTTTGATTTTCAGTATTTGATAATTGTGTGATGTTCTCCAATTCTTTGTCTTCTATTCCACTATCTTCTCATGCTGCCACTTAAATTATCCAGACTTTCTTCTTTTCAACCACAGTTTAAAACTGGTGAGTTATGTGTGTCAAGATTTTTCATCAGTCCGTTTTTGGGACTCGCACAATACAGGTAGTCTTCAACTTATGACCACAATTGAGCCCCAAATTTATGTTGCTAAGTGAGAAATTTATTGAGTTTTGCCCCATTTTATGACTTTTCTCGCCACATTTGTTAAGTGAATCACTGCAGTTGCTAAATTAGTAACAGTTAAGTGAATCTATTTTCCAAATGACTTTGTCAGAAGTTTGCAAAAAAATGATCACATGATCTCAAGAACTGCAACTGTTACAAGCGTAAGTCAGTTGTCAAGCATCTGAATTTAAATCACATGACCATGGGGATCCTGCAATGGTCATAAGTGTGAAAAATGGTCATGTCAATTTTTTCAGTCCTGTTGTAACTTTGAACAGTCACTAAGTGAACTTTTTAAAGTCGAGGACTATCTGTAGTTTAACCTCATTTTAAACTACTGTTTCAATTATACATTCTAATCTAACCATTTTGTGTCTTAGAGGATTAAATTAATCATGCTGTTCAATATTTACAAAGATGAAAAATATACCTTTTAATTTCCATGCCTGGACTAAGTTAAAATATCAAATATGATACCTGCCTAACTAAAAATAGCACTTACAAACTTAGGGAATTATGCATAATTTTCTTTTGAATTTTCTAAAATTATTTTCAGATTTTGACTATAAAATTTTTTTGTTTCACAAAGTTGTACATTAAATTGTTTCATAACTATCTAAACCACCAAAGGAAACTGTATAGGAAGAAGTTCACCTCAAGAACAATGTTCTTATCATGTTTATTTTGTATACAAGCCATGTCTGTTTATAAGAGCTGTCAAACATTGTGTAAACTTTACTTTCCCTTCCTTGTTCCAAATCTTATCATCTTTCTATACATACAGAGGTGCATGATAAAAACTCCTGTAAGTTTCCACGTGCACAAATACGTCTGTGAAAATGATTATAATTACGGGTGCTAAGCAGTTCTAATGCATATACTTGTCAGTAACACTTTGCATATTTTATGGTTTATATTATTTCCATCCTGGATAAAGAGGAAAATTGAGAGATATATTCAACGATCAAATTCAAAATGAATTTGAAGGGGGGCATATAATATTATGTATGTATGTATGTATGTATGTATGTATGTATGTATGTATACACACACACACATAAGTTCAAGGCATTATACACTGCATATCCTGTTTTAGTTATTTTTCCATAGTAACATTTTTGCTTATGAAATTTATTTTTTCAAGCACACACAGGCAGCTTTTTGCTATGCAGTTCTAATGTACTACTACTGAAGAGTTAGATAATGAATAGATATTAGATCTATAGAATTAAAATCAAGAGAACAAACCTGTAATCTTTACTATTTAAAAGTGGGTCACAAAATGCTGACGGAAAAATGTCTCTTTGCCTAAACTTCTCAAGAACCTAATTTACAACAAAGAGTGATATCTTGGGGAGTGGGGGACCAGCTTTCATTTTCCAATCACATTTTGCCATAGTTAGTTCCACATTCAATGCTCAAACAGTCAATTCTTCTTAGAGGATTGTTTTTTCCTTGGCTGGTGTTTGCTAATGCAAATGTTTGGAAAACTCCACCGGCTTAAGACTTTATTCTATTTGATAGTTATACTGACTTTTGACAACTGTCTTGAGATTTAATTTGAAGATTGATGTTTGCCTTCAGAAAACATTATGTTCCCTATGTAGCAAAAGATTTAATACATTTTAGCTTCCTGATCTTCACAAGGTCAAGCAATATTATTCATTTCAGCCAGTAAACATCAAAGAAGTTTCATACATCTTGCTAGATCCAGAAAGAGCATGCAGAGTCAGGAAAATTCTGTCTGTATCGCAGTGCTATTTTATTAAGAAAACCTAGGTTGAACAAGGAAGCTAATAAAAGAACGGTGTTATCATAGCCTTGGTTTTGATTCTCTTGAAGCAAACACAGAGAATTTCTATCTAAGTATCCTATTGATTGCAAAACAGATCATATCAGAATGTGATCCTGATCTTAGAATTTATCAATGTGTCCCAATAATTTTGCACTATTGGTTTTGCAGTTTTTTCATGACACAACTGTAACCAGCTCTGCAGTCCTTTATTGAGAAGTAGCTTCTAACATCTCAACAGCGAAGTAAACTATAATATTACATTTTAGAGCTTCTATCTACTTGCCAAAATCTATTTATTATATATGTATGCCACCTGAATCCCAATGACTCCTGGTATCTCACAAGTAAAAGCATTAAAAAAAAACACAGAAAGAATTCTCGAATTACAACAGAACTTGGGACCAGGATCTCCACTGCCATGTGATGCAGCTGTAAATCACAAGTGCATCGCTCAGCAACGGTAATCTCTCCAATCCTACTTGCCATCGTTAACTGAATCTCAGCCACTGTTAGATCTCCTTGCAACTTCCTGCCGGTTTCCCACTACTTTGGGGAAGCCAGCAGGAAATTGCAAATCCGAAGCAGCTTGCAAGAAGGCTGATAGTTAGGTTAAGTAGCAGCTGCTAGGTGGGTTAGGAGAGAATAGGGGGCCACAGATGGCTGAAGTAATGTGGCATGAATGAAACAAGGGTTGGGGTGGTTCCTGCCCCCGGGGGGAGGGAGCAATGGGGTTTGCAGAAAGTGTGGCAAGTCTCAGGGAGGATACATAAGGATGTGTGAGAGTGGCTAAGTGAGTCTCGGGGAGGATGCACAGCAGTGTTTAAGTGACAGGGAGGTGTGGTGAGGTTCAAGAAAGGTGCATGAGGGTCCACAAAGTGGCATGGGAAGGCTTGTGGGGGGGGTATGTGGGAATGCACAAGAGTGATGTGACAAGGCTTGGGAAGGATGCTCAGGGATGTGCAAGTTGCAGAGAAGTGCGAGGCTCAGGGAGATTGCTAGGGAAGTAAGACAGGGCTCAGGGTGGGGTTGTGCAAGTGGCCAGGATGGCAAGGCTTGGGGAGGGGAAGGTATGCAGGGTTGCACAAGTAGTTGGTGTGGTGCAAGCGCAAAGGAGCTGGGTAAGTGGGTCAGGGAGATTTACCCTAATGATTTTTGACCTGCCCTGCCACCATCCCTGTTTGACTTTCTGGAGAAGCTAGCAGGGAAAGGAGCAAACGGCGATTACATGATCATGGGGCACTGTAACTGGGTTTAAGTGTGAGCAGGTTGCCAAGTTCCCAGATTGTAATCATGTGACCGGGTGGATACTGGGACAGCCAGGACTTCAAGGATCAATGGTAACCACCATTCGTTCAAAACTGTCATTACTTCAAACAGCCATTCAATGAAAGTTTGATGTCTGCCTGTAAAAGATAGCAAGATGACAGAAACAGGACTGGAATGAAAAAAAGAACCACACCTACACAAACCAAGGGGGCTTTACTCACCCACACTAAAGGCCTGCTACAATCCTTCTTTTAGCTATAGCTGTGCATATCCTGGTTAAAATAACAGAAGCAGGTAGCAACCTATTTGCTCCATCGGAGGGAGCAAGTGTATTTTGCACCCTACATGGCAGGGAACAAAATGTTTTGCATCTGTCATTTATGCAAAGTATATGTACTTGAGCAATAGAACATTTAAAAAAAAAATACCTTCTGAAGTTGCCTTCAATGCTGTTTTTAACTGTTCCACTTCTACGGTTAGCTTCTCATTTGCTACCACAGACAAATGTTCACCGGCAGAATGTTTAATTTCCTTCAATAACTGCCAAGAGGAGGAGAAAAAAAAATCAATTCTGTTTCAGGTTTTGCATAATCCTGCCCCTATTCGCATTTGGTGGGACAGCTGGGGAAGGCACTTGGTTTATCTTGGAGATGCCTTTAGATTGAGTAATCCACTCTACCAAGCTTATTAACCAAACTGTAACACTGGAGGTAATGCCTTTAGCCAATGCTGGCACATTGCATAAATGTCTAATTTTGATTTTCATTTTGATTTCTATGCTAATTTTGAATATCCATCCTCCAAGGTCAGTAAAATGAGGGTCCAGATTGTTGGGGGCAACGTGGTGACTATGTAAATTGCTTAGAGAGGGTTGAAGTGGTCTTAGTGCTATTGCTATTTTCTCATTGGTATTAATTTATGGCAAGTCTTTTTACTAAAGGATGGAGGTCCTTTAAAAAACAGACATGGCTGTGATGGCACAGTGGTTAGAATGCAGTATTGCAGACAAACTCTGCTCAAAGCCAGGAGTTTGATCCTGACCTGCTCAAGGTTGACTCAGCCTTCCACCCTTCGAGATCAGTAAAATGAGGACCCAGATTGTTGTGGGCAATAGGTTGACTCTGTAAACCACTTAAGAGAGGGCTGTAAAGCACTAAGATGCAGTATAGAAGTCTAAGTGCTATTGTTCTAAGTGCTATTATGTCTTGTGACATCTCCTAAGAAATATAAGAAACACAGACCATGACAAAGAGAAGGGCAATTAATACAGGAATAAAACTGAAATAAATAAATAAAAAATAAAAATAAAACTGGTGAGCCAGGAAACATACCAGTTGCAATTTTTCGTTTTCTTCTAAGCATTTCCGGGCAATTTCATTGCTGTTTGCCACTTCCATTTTTAGAATATTCTCCATTTCCATCTCTTTTGCCAAGATAGTGATAAGGGAAACAAGACGTCTCAATACACTGTGGAAAACAAAAAAACAAAACAAAACAACTGATTCATCAGCACAGGCAAAGCATCAACTGATAATCATTTTGATAACTTTCTAATAAAAAACAAAGGAAAAGCTGTGCAGTATCCCGAAATGTTCAAATACTCCAGAAATTATTTGTTGCAACTTTAGAGAAACTTCCTGATGAATTACAATGCATTTGCCATTAAATTTAGACTGAATTTTTAATACTTTCAATTTTGAACAAGTTTGATCCATAACTAGGAGATGTAAATATGGGGTAGGGTAGGCCTTGAACCACAATTGAGCACAAAATTTCTGTTGCTAAGCAACAGAATTTTTAAATGAATTTTATCCCATTTTATGACCTTTCTTGCTACAGTTGTTAATTGAATCCCTGCAGTTATTAAGTTAGCAACACGGTTAAGTGAATCTGGCTTCCCCCTTGACTTCAATCAATCAGAAAAGAGCAGGAAGGGGCCTTTGAGGTCTTCTAGTCAAATCCCCTGCTCAAGCAAGAGACCCTATACCATTTTACACAAGTGGCTGCCCAATCTCTTTTTAAGAACCTCCAGTGTTGGAGCATTCACAACTTCTGGAGGCAAGTTGTTCTCACTGTCAGGAAGTTTCTCCTTAAAGGTTGCCTCTCTCCTTGATTAATATCCATCCATTGTTTCTTATCTTGCCTTCTGATGCTTTGGAACGGAAGCTGAACCCGCTTCTTTGTGGAAGCCCCTCAAATACTGAAAGACTTTGTCAGAAGGTGGCAAAAGATGTTCACATGACCTGGGACACTGAAACTGTCATAAATGTCAGTTGCCAAGCATCCGAATTTTGATTACATGACCACGGGGAGGCTGCAATGGACATAAAGTGTGAAAAATGGTCGCTAAGTCACTTTTCCCAGTGCTTTTGTAACTTTGGTCATTAAATGAACTGTTGTTAAGTCAAAGATTACCTGAATAGATAAAATGGCTGTTGAATTCAAAGGATGCTCAATCCATAAAATCCAGTATATTAAAAAATGTGGACTGAAGGATAAAATACAGTAAAAACTGCATTCCTTGCCTATGTCTCTTACTTACACATCTCAGATGCTTTATGTTGGACAGTCCAATATATGGAAATCCCTGGAGAATTATTTACTTGAAAGCAGCATGATGATTTATTTCCTTTCAGAAATTTAATGGCAAGTCTTCCAAACACAGAGAAACTAAATATAGCATGAGCAGTCTTTCTAATCAATTGTTCTATCACTGCCTTTTGAAACAGAACAGTATTATTCTAAGAAAGAGGATTTTTTTAAAGCTAAAAGTCAAGAACAATTTTCTTTTAATATAATCCATTTTATTAATATGCATTAGTTTTATCCATGAACATTTGCTGTTTTTTATTTTACTCTCACTATATCCAATTCATATATTTTATGTTTTTAGAAAACGTTGACCCATGGCATTCTTATACTTACAGCCAAAGAAAGAGGGAAAATCCTGATATATAAAGATTTCGTTGTGATCTAAAAAGTTTCATGTGAATGTGATCGAATGCCGTGGGACTCGAATGGGGGCTGTCTTCACTTAATTGAACAGTTGAGTATTTCCTCACTTCTCTTACTGCATCTGAGAGCATAAATACATACATATATAAATTGTACCTGCTTTCCATTACCTCATGTTATCTACTAGTTCAATATAGATCTATACTACCCATACTCTATTTTAATTATCGGGCCACAGAAAATAAGATTTATATTTATGCATTAAAATTAATAACTACTGAAATGAAATATAAAGTAAATAGGCTTCTTTATACATTTCAATATTTAGTTAACTTTATACTTATGTACTTCAAATAGATTATTTTTTGTAAATAAAGGCAATATATATGTTTGTCTGTCTATCCGTCCATCCATCGGTAAAGATTTCCCTGTCCAATTGAGTACAACGGCATGTGCTCATCTCCATTTCTTGCCTGAGACAGGCGTTGTCTGAAGATGCTTTGGTGGTCAGGTGGCCAACATGGCTATACACTAAAGATGCACAGAATGTTGTTACCTCCCAGTGTGGTACCTATTAATCTATTTGCATGGTACCTATTAATCTATTTGCATTTGCATGCTTTTGAACTGCTAGGTGGGCAGGAGCTGGATCAAGTAACCGGAGCTCACCACACTGTGCAGCACTTGGGTCTGGAACCTGCTCTCCAAGCTCAGCATCTTTAATTGCTGAGCCATTGAATTACACACACACACACACACACACACAGGTTACCATCAATGTGGTAAAATGTGTGAAACTTCACACTTTATACAATGCCTAGGAAATCTATAGAATGGCAACAATGGGACGTCAAAGTATGAAACACTTTTCCTAGGCATTCTATGCAATGCCAAAAGGCAAACAGGCATAGCATAAAATACTCCCACTAAACTGCCATTCTAGCCTTCCTTGTTATAACACGTAGGCCAATATTGGTCTTCTTCAGTAAATAAAGTCCTGTACTTAATTTTGCATTTCTTTTTTGATTTTCATATATGTTTTTTCAATAAAGGGTTAATTGTAACCCTTTTTGTGACTCTCTTTTCATACTTTGCCTAGATACTGTAGTTCTTGTCATTGTGTGTAAGTTTTATGTATTTTATATAATGCCTAGGGAGAGCATATAGAGTATTAAAATAACATACCATAGACACTTCATACTTGGCCTAAAAACATCAGGTATTCTATAGATTTCCTAGGCATGCTATAACAATGCCAGCTTTTCACACATTGCCGGAAACAAACAAACAAACAAACACACACACACACCACACACAAGCAATGAAATGTACCCAACATCATAACTGAAATAAAAGCAATATAATATTTAGCAATAATTTTTAAAATGGTCTTTAAACAAAAATAAAGCAGTTAGCAAAAGAAAGTTTTGTACAGCCCTCAAAAGCAGCTTTTCCCAACCTGATGCTCTCCAAGTATTATGGACAATGCCTATCTTAATCCTAGCTCCCAAAATGCTGTTAGCATCTGATGAGACTTGCAACCCAAATTTCTAGCAACCAGTGCATGGAGAAAAATTGTCCTAAAGAAATCTCCAGAAACTTTCTGGCTGTTTTTCTGATAAAAATTCAAAAGTAACTACTGTACGGTAGAAAAAAAGAGTGCCATCTGCTGATCCTTTAAAAAACACTTCTTGCCATAAATATTTCAGTAGATGTTTTATGCCAATCTTATTTAAGTTTTACTATCAGATAATGAGAAAACATCACTTGCCTCTTGTTCAATTGATTTTGTAAGATATATTGCCTCATCTGCAACAAAATCAATCGTTAAGTAGTACATACAATCTCCAATACTTTTGCTTTCACATCCTATTCATATTAATAGCCACATGCAAAATTGATTTTCTACTTACCAAGAAATAAAACAATTAATATAATTATAATAGTAAGGAATGTCTTGTTCCAATAGCTTGCAATTTTATTCCATACAGAGATCATAAAAATCTTATTCCATCTATAAAAGAAACAAATTTCAAAAAAATAAATCTATGAATGCTCCATTAGGTAAGCATCTTAAGTAATGCACAAAATTATCCAATTTAGTTTTCAAGCACTTGCCAATACAGGTAGTCCTCGACTTATGACCACGATCGAATCCAAAACTTATGTTGTTAAGTGAGACATTAAGCCAGCTGGGAAAATATTTGGGTTAAATCAGTCATATTTAGCTTTGTAAAATGTATAAGGCAGACACATGCATTTTGACCTATTCTGCTTAAAAACTAGCAGAAACTACCACAAATAAATTGTACAGATAGTCCTCAATGTATGACAATTGAGCCCAAAATTTATGTTGCTAAGTGAGACAGCTGTTAAATCAACCTTGCTCCATTTTGCGACCTCTCTTGTCAGAGTTGTTAAGTGAATCACTGCAGTTAAGTTAGTAACACAGTTGTAAGGTGAATATGGCTTCCCTCATTGACTTTTCTTGTCAGGTTGCAAAAGGGGATCATGACTCTAGGACATTGTAACTGTCATAATTATTAGTCAATTGCCAAGCATTCTAATATTGATCACATGACCTGGGGATGCGGCAAGAGTTTTAAGTGTGAAAATGGTCATAAGTCACTTTTTTCATGACATTGTAACTTCAGTCATTAAATGAACTATTGTAAGTTGAGTACTTCCTATACTGCCCAAAATAGCTGTTATAATGTAGAGTTTAAATGAGAGCATTTCTATTTCCATAAGGTATATAGGTCATAGCTCCAGTATCAATGTGGTCTCTAAATAACCATAAAATGTAGTAACTAATTTATGCCCAAGCTGACTTTGCAGAGATGTAAGAACTGCAAAATATGCAAAGGACAAACTGTTGACAACTTATTTGTTAGGAGAGGGGAAGTTCTTTCAGAGGAAGATCATCTTTAATCTTAGAAACAGGGAAGTGTGCTTGTGTGTATATGTAGTGTATATGTGTATCTTAGCCAGAGCAAAATTCAGTTGGAAATCCAGGGTGACCATTAACTCAAAAAGCCAATTCATGCAATCATTTTTCAATTGATTTTGCCCCTAAAATACATTTGGATGTTTCTGTATATTGCAAACAGAACAAAGGTTGCAGGTGGCCCGATTACCAAATATAAATCACATATTAAGGTTTGGTGTCCTGAAATGTATTTAAAATAACACAAAAGACAAAAAAAAGCATGTGCATTATTCATGAAGGGCCTCTACAAGTAGTCCTTGACTTACAACTACAGTTGAACGAATGGTGATAAGTCGAGGACTACCTGCAAACTCATCAAGCTTTGTCCTCCTGAAACATTTAAAAAATAGGAAGAAAAGACAAAAGACAAAAAAAGCACGTGCATTATTTGTGTAGGGCCACTACAGGAAGTCCCTGACTTATAAGCATTTGCTTTTGACAACTGCAGCATCCACATGGTTACGTGACCAAAACTCAAGGCTGCTTGGCAACTGACTTGTATTTATGACTGTTGCAAAGTCCCAGGGTCAGTAATCCCGTTTGGAAACCTTCCAACAAGCAAAGTCAACAGGGAAGCCAGATACACTTAACAACCCAGTTACATGTACTCCTCAACTTACAATTCATTTAGTGACCATTTGAAGCTATAACAGCACTGAAAAAAGTGACTTATGAGGGTTTTTCACACATATGACGGTTGCAGCATCCCCATGGTCACGTGGTTAAACTTCAGATACTTGGCAACGACTCATATTTACAATGATTGCAGTATCCCAGGGACTCCCCCTTTTCTTCTGACCTTCTGACACGCAAAGTCAACAGGGAAGACAGATTCACTTAACAGTGTTACTAATTTAACAACAGCAGAAATTCACTTAACGGTGGCAAGGAAGGTCGTAAAACGGCCCAAAATTTGCTTAACAACTGTCTCACTTAGCGACAGAAATTTTAGGCTCACTTTAACAACTGCAGTGATTCTCTAAACAAGCTGTTAAATGGGGCAAAACTCAGTTAACAACAGTCTCACTTAGTAATAGAAACTTTGAACTCCATGGTGGTCATAAGTCGAGGACTACCTGGTATATGACGAACTATATTTCCTGATCGCTTTGGGGAGTCTCCAGGCACCTGTTTGGGCTTGCAAAAAATTATAAGCGGGCCCTTGCTGGAGCGAAGCCTTGGAGCCACAGCCACGCAGAACAAACCATGATCAAGCCACCATTTAAAAAAAAACCCACAAATAAACCCACATCAACAGCTTTAACTCTTCTCCCTCCCCCCCAAAAATCCCAATTACATTTACTGTTAACCTGCCTGTGTCCCTCAGGGGGAAAAAAAACTATATGAGGGGTTTACAGGCAGTCCTCAACTTACGACCACAACTGAGCCCAAAATTTATGTTGCCAAGTGAGGAATTTATTGAGTTTTGCCGTTTTATGACTTCTTGCCATATTTATTAAGTGAATTGCTGCCGTTGTTAAATTAGCATCATGGTCATTAAGCGAATCTGGCTCTGCCATTGACTTTGCTTGCCCGAAGATCACCAAAGGGGATCACATGGAACCCCCCTCCCCCTCAGGACACTACAACTGTCACAAATATGAGTCGGTTGTCAAAAGCACCTGAATATCAATCATATGACCATGGGGATGCGGCGATGGTCGTTAAGCGTGAAAAAATGGTCATGAGTCACTTTTTTTCCCCAGTGCCGTTCTAACTTTGGTCACTAAACAAAGTTATGTTGTAAGTCAAGGACTACCTGTATATTTCCCCAATGGCTTCGGGGAGCCCCCAGGTACCTGTTTGGGCTTGCAAAAAAGCTAAAAGCTGGCCCCTGAGGGAGCCCCAGCCACCCCGAGACAACAGACCATGATCAAACCACTATTTTAAAAGCCCCTGCAAACAAACCACTTCTCTCCTTAACCCCAATTAAGTCAACCAGCCTGTGTACTTTTTTTGGGGGGGGGGGGGAGAAAAACTGCATGAAGCGTTTATTTCCTCAAAATAAGAACTGCATGGGGGTTTATTTACACTGAAGAAAAACAGCATGAGGGGTTTATTTCTCCCCCAAGAAAACGGCATAATTTCCTGAGAATAAAAACTACATGAAAGTTTTACTTCCCCCTAAGAAAAACTATAAGGGCTTTACTCCCCCCCCCCATAAAAACTATATGAGGGGTTTATTTCCCTCACCCCAAATAAAAACGGCATGAGGACTTTTACTTCCCCCAAAGAAAAGCTTTATTTCCACCGAATAAAAACTTATTTCCCCCTAAGAAAAACTAAATGAGGGGTTTATTTCCCCGGAATAAAAACTACATGAGGACTTTTATTTTACCCGCAGAAAAACATGAGGGGTTTGTCGTCGTCTCCCCTCCCGAATAAAAAATGTATGAGGACTTTTATTTCCCTCTCAGAAAAACTACATAAGGGTTTATTTCCCCCCGAATAGAAACTGCACGAGGACTATATTTCCCCCTCAGAAAAACTGCCTGAGGACTTTTATTTCTCTCTAAGAAAAACTACACCAGGGCTTTATTTCCCTCGTAAGAGCAGGCCTGGCTAGCCCCGGTTTACCTCACGGGCGAGACGAGCGGTAGGCAGAGCAGGAGCAACAAGGCGATTTCGCCGTAGAGAAAGGCGGCCACGGCGCTCCATTGGTAGGTCATGGTGCCTCCGAAGGGGACCCTCCGCCGCCGCTACTCCTGAGGAGGGAAGCCTCGTTAGCTCCGTCTCGGCCGGGGACCGAAGAAAAATCCCTTTCTCAGGCCGGGATAGACACCCCACGCGCCGGGTCAACGGCTGCCAACCCAGCCGGGAAGACTACGCGGCGGAGCCGCCGGCGTCGCTCGGCGACTAGCCGCGCTTCTCCCGCGCCATCCCGGCCCAGGGAAGCGTCACCCCGGGGCGCCTCCTCCGCGCCGCGCGGCCCAGGCTTTCCTATCAGGCGGCCGGAGCGAAGCCCTCCACGACCGAGCCGTCGTTATACCCCGGGAGGGACAGGAAAGCAGCGGCCTCCTTCGCTCCCTCAGGCCGGGAAGGGATTTTTTTTTTTTTACCTCAGCCTTCCCTCGAAGGGCGCTTGGGTTTGGGCTCGGCGCACGGGATGGTTGGGTGGGTGAGCGCGTAACGTGTGAACCCGGCCCACGTGGCCGAAGAACTCGGGTTGGGGGACGGATGAGTGATTATGTTTTCTTGCAGACGTTTCATTACCCAAACTACGTAGCTAACATCAAAGTCAACTAAATTGTTAATCTTACGACTAATTTTCACTTACCACTATTACTACCCATACGATAGTTTAGCTTCTCTAGAGTTTTCTATCATCCACCCATTTTCCCTGGCACTTTTTTCTAGTAAATTTATAGGTTGTTCATTGAACTGGGATTACATACCCTGGTGTAGTCCAATTGGCAAGGATGAGGACTAGTAAATTGAAAGCAGAGCTTCTGAATGGAAATATCTGGGGTGGCCACAACAGCTGAGTTGTTCCCAAACTAGTAATCCTGGACTGATGCAATTAAAACTATTTCTGGTGCACCTTTATTAATTATATCTCTCTATCCACAAGATGTAATCACCCCAATGTTCCATATACACTAGTTGTAATTACTCCACCCAGAAAGATATAGAAAACTTAGGACCCATGCCTTAAATTACAAATACAGGTAATCCTTGACTTAAGACCACAATTGAGCCCCAAATTTCTGTTGCTAAACAAAACAGTTAACTGAGTTTTGCCCCATTTTATGACCTTTCTTGCTACGGCTGTTAAGTGGACCACTGCAGTTGTTAAGTGAAACTGGTTTTGCTCATCAGAAGGTCGAAAGGTGATGCCATAACCCTGGGGCAGTGCAACTGTCATAAATACAAGCCAGTTGCCAAGCATCTGAATCTTGATCATGTGACTACAGGGCTGCTGCAACAGTTGTAAGTGTGAAAAGCGTCCATAAGTCACTTCTTTTCAGTGCCATTGTAATTTCAAATGGTTGTGAGTCTATCCAAGACTACCTGTACAGCAGGACTACCTGTACAAGAGGTGTGGCATATATGTGAAGCAATTTTGAACGGGTGTAGGTTGATAAATACAATCTCATGCATGTTTATTTAATAACAAGTCTCATGAACTTACATCTGACTTTTGCATGTATGGATAAAACTGCAGAATAAAGGTTTCAGGATAGGCTTTGGCCTGATATTTACACATCTCATATTTTCATACATCTACTATATTCACTTTGACATGATGTCGATGGAGATTCTCACTCATCCAGGTCATGGTTGTCCCAAAGGTGCTTTTTCAAGAGGCAGCTGGACTTTCTTTATAGACGTTTTGCTTCTCATCCAAGACGCTTGCTTCTTCGGCTCTCTGACTAATTATAGTCAGAGCTAAAGAAGCTTTTTGGATGAGAAGTGAAACGTCTTCCAAGAAAAATCAGAAAGTCCAGTTGCCTCCTGAAAAGGCATCTTTGGGACTATAGCATGATCAAAGATATTCAGCAAGCTATGATCATTCAATTACACTCCTTGCAAAGAATGGTTATTACCTGGAATGATTAATAAAGGAAGTTTTTAATCAGTTTGTAGATATTAATCTCTGCTGAAAGGAATGCAGGATGCTGGAAGAAGAATTACAGGTATTCCTCAACTTACAACCATTTGTTTTGTGATCGTTTGTAGTTACTATGGCACTGAAAAAAATGACTTATAACTGTTTTTCACTTTTAGGACCATGGCATTATCCCTATGGTCACATGATTAAAGTTCAGAGATGTTGGCAACTGGCTCAGATTTATGACGGTAGCAACGTTCCTGGGTCATGATCACCTTTTGTGACCTTATGACAAGGATAGAAGGATAGATAGATAGATAGATAGATAGATAGATAGATAGATAAATTCTTTATTGGCCAAGTGTGATTGGACACACAAGGAATTTGTCTTGGTACAAATGCTCTCAGTGTACATAAAAGAAAAGATACATTTATCAAAAGTCAAGAATCAGCAGGTACAACATTTAATGATAGTCATAGGGTACAATAAGCAATCACATCATACTAGGAAACAGTCAATATAAACCGTAAGGATACAAGTGACAAAGTTACAGTCCTACAGTCACAAGTGGGTGGGGATGGGTGATAAGTCAATGGGAAAGCCAGTTTTACTTAAGAACCATGTTAACTAACTTAACAACTGCAGTGATTCATTTAACAGCTATGGAAGAAAGGTTATAAAATGGGGCCAAACTCACATAAGCACTGTCTTGTTTAGCAGCATACATTCTGGGCTCAATTGTGGTCATATGTCGAGGACTACCTGCATATGTGATTGCAATCAGCATCTTTGTATATTATAGCTGTGAGAAAAGGACAACTGGGTCCTAAAGTTGGTGTAGGTCTCTGCTTAATTGAAGGCCTCAAATTAAGTATATATTATAATGCTGGTTGAGCTGATTTATTGCTTGTGTTTTGTCTGTGTATCTCTTTTATTAAATTATTTTTATAACGTAGCCATATCTATAGCTGTACTCAGTCCGAATAAACCAACCTGAGATTAAGGTTCACAGTTTGCACCTATTGAAGTACAGTTTGCTTGATGAGGGCTAAATAAACCTATGGACGGTTGCTGTTTTTATTCACAATTTGCTCATAAGAAAATGCTAAAATCGTATAAATGCACATACGGAAATCCTCGAGTAGAAAAAACAACCGTAGGCGTACAGAATTTATAAACGAGTTTGGTCTTCTCACAATTAAATATATCTAGAAGGCTACCGAACACCATAATTATCTCTAAGGTAGTCCAAAACAGCAGACGTACTTGATAAAACGTTAAAAATCTTTTTTTCTTGTTTTGAAGTCACCCTCTCCAGCATGTACATTAAATGATGATGGAAGCAGGTGAAAGGGGTACCCTGCTCAAGGGCTATATCCACCCAGTCCTGAACACACTGCAGAGGTGTGTCTTCATACCCTGTAAATAAAGCTGGGTTGGCTAAGAGCCCTCTCGCAACCATGACACCTACAAAAGGAAAAGAAATATATTTTCAGAAAACCACAAATATATATTTATCTTAAAGCTGGAATGGATAATTTTTTTGGTATCCACTGATAGTGGCCACCGTTGTACTACTTTGAGGGTTAGGGTAGAACAAGAAGAGGTGTTGATCAAGGGTGGGATTCAATTTTTTTAATCAACCGGTTCTGTGGGCATAGCTTAGGTGGTGGGCCTGGCTTGGTGGTTGTGTTATTGGCTGGGCGTGACCAACTCAATATCACTCACATCGAGGCACACATCTCCTCACCTGGCCTCTCATGACTGGGGGGATGCTGCAATAGTTGTAAGTGTGAAAAATGGTCGTAAATCACTCTTTTCAGTGCCGTTGTAACTTTGAATGGTCACTCCACACAAGCAAAGTACCAGCAAAGGAAGGTAAAAAAACTCCAGAGAAGTTTCTGAGACAGGAAGTCTAGTCCTGCCAAGAATGTAATAAGGGTTAACGGAGAGGATACTAGAAGCAGAAAGGCAGCATTCTGGAAGATTCAAATGGTTAACAGAGGGAGATTGGGCTGCTACCGGTTCACCCTGATTTGAGCGAACCGGAATCTAATTTTATGGCCAGTTCGGTGAACCGGTAAATCCCACCCCCGGCTGGCTCCGCCCTCCCCTCCCCTGCCAGGAGTCCCCTTGTGGCCTGTTTTGGATCCCAGATAAGTACAGGGCCCATGAAGAGGCTTGGACAGGGCGAAAAATGGGCCTCCCAGAGGCCAGAAACAGGCCCGTTTCTTGCCTCCAGAGAGCCTCTGGAGCCCGGGAAGGCTGTTTTCGCCTACCCGGAGGCTTGAGGAAAGCCTCCGGAGCCTGGGGAGGGAAAAAATGCCCTGCCTCCCGGTGCAGGAGGCTGACTAGGCTATGCCAATCATGGTCATGCCCACCCAGCAACCGGGCAGAGAACCCATTACTCAAATTTTTGAAGCCCACCCCTGGGGAGATAGATTTGACTACATTTCAGTTGAGTCTAGAAACTTAGAAGAAAGACCCATTTAACCCAGTGAAAAGTATTTCTTAGAATATGAGCTTACATGGGTTTTGTCATGCCCCTGTGAGAGTCTGAATCCGAGGAGGAAGCCGGACAGCTGACAGGGAATGGGAGTGTGGCTCCATTGGCTGTGGAGGAGGCTGGGGAAGGGCAAAGTCCAACTGGGCAGAGCAGGGGAGAGGTAGAGGAAGGGAGAGGGAGTTCAGAGGAAGACCAAGACCCACCCGCTCTTCATTCTAGGGCACGCAAGGAGGAACGGAGAAGAGAGTAATGTGGGTTCCGTGGCTTACGGGGGAGGAAAGGGCCCTGATTCCTTTCATTAGCCACAGCTGGGAAGACAGTTGATAAGAAAGGCAGGCTGCATGTGGCAGGCTGCTGGGAGCAAATGTGACTTTATCCTGGGTTGTCGTGGCTTATCTGTGTTCCTGGAGTCTTCCCAACTATGTGAGTTTTGCCGTGCCTTCAAGTCTGAAATTCTTCCTCCTGCCCTGTCAAACTAATTACTTTAGTATGGCTTGTTTGGACTTTAAGTTACAGTGTTGCTCATGTTTTGGACTTAATTTTTTGCAATCAAAGGCTGTTCCTGGGAGAGTTTTTCTCTAGCCAGAAGGTAACCAGGACACGTGGGGCAAAGTTGGAGATAATAAAGGGACTCCTATTGCTAATCTGACTGTGTTCCTTTGTGCCACGTCCCGGGTCATCACAGGTTTAACATCAGCTCCTTATATAGCTATTTGAAACAAGATGAGTGTAATATTGTCTAACCTTAGTCATTTTTAAGGTGGGTGGATTCCAATGCCCAGAATAGTGTAGCCAGCATTGCTGGAAACAAGCATCAGGGAGGAAAAAAAAACTTAGAAGAACCAAGGTTGTTCTCACCATCAGCTCCTGTTCTTTGATGAATGGCCTCCACATCTTTCAGGGACTTCACATCACCGTTAGCTACCACCGGTATGGAGACGCTGTCTTTAATTGCCTTAATTGCATCGTAGCGCACTGGCTGATGTCTTTCTTCTACACTTCTCCCGTGTACACTGATCCAGGATACGCCAGCTGACTCTGCTTTTTGGCAGAGGTCTACGGTTCTCTGTAGATCTCCATGGATCCTTCCGTTCCGTGCGGAGAGGGGAAAAAAAGGTAACTCAGCAGGTGAAAATATTTTCTCAGCGTGAAAATATAGTGAAGAATTAAGAACAGAGAAGGGGAGGGAAGGAGACACATATAGATATAGGTATGTACAGGTAATTCTATGCCACTGCCAGGAGTTCGATCTTGACTGGCTCAAGGTTGACTCAGCCTTCCATCCTTCCAAGGTGGGTAAAATGAGGACCCAGACTGTTGGGGCCATAAGCTGACTGTAAACCGCTTAGAGAGAGCTGTAAAGCACTATGAAGTGGTATATAAGTCTAAGTGCTAGTGCTATTGTGGTATTATTCCTGAATAATACAAATGCCTTGAATTTTCACTAAATCATATGGTTACGAATTAAAGACAGCTTCTTAATTGATTATTTGCAATATCTTTTTATGTAGCTAATACAGAAAATACATTTTCTTTTCTGCTGCCCACCACATCTATAAGACAATTCACACATATATATCTCTATAAAGGACTTACCGTATCTTAATAGATACTGAAAATGTGGGTTTTTCCACTTGATTTCTTACTGATCTCACCATCTCTTGTATCAGTTGTGGTTTGTTTATTAAGCAAGCACCATAGCCTTCTGCCATGGCCCACCTGGAAGAAAACAATAAAGGGCCCCCTTTAAATACCTTTTGTGGCTACAGACCACCAAGATCTTAACTCAAGATTGAAATAATAATATTTCTTCAAGCTTTTGTGGTCGCAGGTTGAGAACTACTGGCCTACTACGTTATACTAAAAAAACTACTTATTTAAACAAAAATATATATTGAAAAGCTCCAATTTCTCTGCAGGTTTACCTAATTTTCAAATATAAAGAAAGAGAATAATAGTATATGGAAAATCAGTACAACAGCAGTTGCTTTAAGAAATGCTTCTTTACACTAGCAAAATGGGACTGAGTTTCTGATTTCACAGAAAAACTCATTTGCATTCACTAAGCACCCAAAGATTTTGCCTCTGGATTTTCTGCCCAGGTGTAAACATATTAAGTTAGAGGCATTTACAATTTAGTTTAAAATGTTAAACTAACATGCTGGCTGGGAAATTCTGGGAGTTGAAGTTCATACAACTTCAAGTTGACAAGGTTGAGAAGTATCATTTTAGACACCGGTCAAATATATGGAAGTGCATATCTACATTTTAAATAAAGAATGTGTTTTATTAAAAATGTTCTGTACTTTAAGAGCTGTGGTGGTGCAGTGGTTAGAATGCAGTATTGCAGGCTAATTCTGCCAACTGCCAGCAGTCCGATCCTGACTGGCTCAAGGTTGACTCAGCTTTCTGTTTTTCCAAGGTTGGTAAACGAGGACCCAGATTGTTGGGGGAAATAGGCTGACTCTGTAAACTGCTTAGAGAGGGCTGTAAAGCACTGTGAAGCGGTATATAAGTCTAAGGGCTATTGCTATTTTGTTCAGTGGTATGTTCTGTTTATTTGAAACTTATTGGGAGGATTTTCCTTGAAAAATAGAGAGAAAAAGAGAGAGAGGGAGAAGGAGAAAGAATTGTTTCCATATATTGTTCTCCGGTCACTCACCTTTGTGGACAACCACAGTTTAAATCTATGCCATCCGCAAACGGACTCACAAGCCCAGCTGCATCTGCCAAAACTTGTGCTTCTTTAGCAGCAAATTGAACAATCAAAGGATGGTCACCTGTAAAAAAAAAGAATTGTAATCTATATATATATATATAAGTGAAATATCACTCATGCATCATCACAAAATCTCCAGAACCGTAAAACCTACAAACTTGAAATTTGGCACGTATGTTCCTCTTGGCTTCTAGGTGCTCACTAAGAAAGGATTTTTTGAAATGACCATCAGAGCATTTGAAGTATTTCCTATATTATTATTATTAACAAGCTCTGATGCTAAGGAGTTCTACTCCCCCTCCTCACCTGAAAAGAAATCTCTTCCAAATGCAGAACACAAACAGAGGAGAGGAGTTTCAGTTTCAGTTTCAATTTCACAGCACCAAGCAGCTTTAGTACAGAACAGTGGAGCTAAGCCATGCCCAGGCTCCTTACTGTCTCCTTCTTGCTCACACAAATACTATCTCAGTTTCCAAACAGTCCTCAACTCTCTCACACACTGACAGGACGCTAGCCAGATGAATACCGATGGATGCTGGTAGGCAGAGGCACAATTTTTTTCCCCTTATTTTCCTCCCCCAAAACTAGGCCCAACCACATAGTTTTGTAGCGAAGCATGGGTATCAAGCTAGTAAATAAATAAAAATCACTGATATTTAGGAAATAAGGTGCATTCTAGATACATCAATGAGAGAACCAATGTGGTGTATTGGCTAGCACTGAATTCCAGTTAGGGAGAACCTGCCTGAATGAATCTCATGATGATTTTATTCAGTGATGATTTTATTCAGTAAGGATGGAACAAACCAGGATTTAGTGTGAATCTGCAGTCCTATATATTAAGCTTTCTTTAATCTGTTGCCCTCCAAGTATCTTGAATTTGAAATTGCTCTTCCATCTACTTCTAGTTGTTCAACTCAGCTGCTTTAAATTCAGTGGATATCTTTGACTAGAAGCTACTTCTAGTCCCAGCTATTTTACAAGGTTCTTGATATATGGACATCCATATTTTGGGAACTTCTGGAGAATAACATGTTATGAATCTACTAAAAGAATAAGGACTTGATCCAAGGATAATTTAACTTGAATAAGTAGACCAAAGAACATTTTCAAATTTGGTGGGCGACAGGCTGAAGGTTTACTTCCTGGGACTACAAGCTGTAAACCTTGGTTTGTTCCATCATTCTTACTGAAGAAATCACTGTTGGTTTTATTCTAACAATATATCAGGCCCAAACCAAACATATTATTTCATATCTCTGTGCAATGATTCAATCCTAATCAGGGTCTTTCTGAGCTCTACATTAGATTTTGTGTATGTTTCGAAAAAGATATTTTGAGGACAACTACCTGGGCATTAAAAAGGATTTCAAAAGCTCCAGAGGGGTGAGAGAATGTACACAACCCACCTTGGTTTGTTGTAAATTCACTGTGCCTGGCTTTCAAAGATTTGACAAAATCCGCTGCAATGATCATTGGTGTGTAGCATAAATCACAGTCATATTTCCTGACTAAAGTTCTGAAAGACAATCTACAAATATAAAAGCATTCGAGATACCAGTAAGTACATGTTTAATTTACCAAAAGAGTGGATTTCCCCCCCTCCAAATTATCACTTTAGTTAATATTGATCTTTTATTCTGGAAAACACTGCATGCAATTGGGTCATTTTATGCATATGTAGTGAGCCAGTTTTGTCTAGTGGTTAAGACTAGAAACTGGGTGAGTTCTAGTCCCAACCATAGCCATGAAAACCATCTGGGTGACTTTGGACCAATCACCAGGAGATGGGGAGTTCTAGTTCTGCCATAGCCATGAAAGCCAGTTGGGTGACTTTGGACCAATCATCAGGAGACGGGGAGTTCTAGTTCTGCCATAGCCATAAAAACCAGTTGGGTGACTTTGGACCAATCACCAGGAGATGGGGAGTTCTAGTTCTGCCATAGCCATGAAAACCAGTTGGGTGACTTTGGACCAATCATCAGGAGATGGGGAGTTCTAGTTCTGCCTTAGCCATGAAAGCCAGTTGGGTGATTTTGGGCCAGTCACTCTCTCTCAAGCCTAGCTCACCTCACAAGGTTGTTGTTATTGGGAAAATGGGAGGAATATTAACTTTGTTCATTCAATCCACCAGCATTTGCATTTCAAAGCAAATTAATCCACGGGACACCACTTTCCTGCTTGATGACCATTTGATCGTGACTGGAGCTATCTTTACTAGAATTGGCACTTTCACACAAGGCCTTTGCCCTGTTTGATGAACCAGTATGTAATTAATTATACTATATTATATTAGCTTTGGAGGGCTAATCTAAACCAGGCTTCCCAACCCACAAGGTGTACTGTGTCAGAAATTGCGGTCACGTGACTGTGGGACTGTTGTGGCCTGTTGGCCACTGGCCCTTCCAGCAGCCAAATCAGAGGAGGAGGAGGTGTGGGAGTCAGGGTCAGCATCATGGCAACCTGGGAGCTCCGAGGGGTAAGAGGGAATGGAGCTATCAGGGGTGGGTGGGAGGGAGGGAGGGACAGAGGGAGAGAGAGGGAGAGAGGCAGAGCCTGGGCCGTCTGTCAGCCCTCAGATGGAGAGTCAACAGCCCCCAGGTCTGGAGGTGGCTGATGAGGAAAAGGAGGAACAGCCGGGTCCAGTGCCTGACGCGCAGATGCTCAGAAGGCAGTGGAGAGGAGAGCAGTAGAAATCTATAGGCCGGTCTTTGGGACGGAAGAGCCACAACTGCTAGCGAAGCCTCACCCTAGCTCTGGGGATAAAAGGCAGGGGGTGGAGATGAATAGATGTGGCAGACAAATATTCATCTCTCTGCCCGACAGACTTGTTACCCTTTAGTGAGAGAGAAACTTTTTGCCGGGGCTGCTGGTTCCCCTAATAAAGAAATTATTGCTTCAACTACAAAGGGTTTGTCGTGTTTGGGGAGTTGGATCAGAACAGGCACTTACTTTGAATACCTAACCATAGGAGCACATATTTTCACGACGGGTTCTGAATGAAACAAATCAACTGGATTTTTTAGTGGAGACCATCCCATTTGCCTGGAGAGACTGGAGTCATCAATGTTATCAGGCCACATCTACAAGGCAAATTTTTTAAAGAAGAGGACGTAAGAACAATTTGTCTTAAATACACATTTGGGGCGGGGGCAAAAACAAAGGAGAAACCTGAAAGGGAAGCACATCTGAAAGAGATTCATAAGCATTAAAAATAATTATTGATAACTTTGCTTTATAAAAGAGGATTCAAGAACAAAACCAAGAAAATAGTCATTAGATTCCATAAATCTAAAGGGCAGCTTTCTGAATTAAAGGGCTGTCTTTTATCTTACAATAAAGCCCCGCATTCAATGCAACAGCCTAGGTCAGCATTTCTCTATCCTGGCGACTTTATAATAGGTGGATTTCAACTCCCAGAATCCCCTGCTGACAGGAGGATTCTGGGAGTTGAAGTCCACTTATCACAAAGGTAACACGGTTGAGAAATGTTGGACTACATGCAGGCCACATACAACTCCAAGAATTCCCCAGCCAGCAATGCTCGCTGGGGAATTCTGAGAGTTGAAGTCCATGAGTCTTTTAAATTGCCAAAGGTTGAGAGGTGCTGGAAGCCTTCAATCCCAGTCTGAGTATATATGTTTTTCTCTTTCTTTCTTTCTTTCTTTCTTTCTTTCTTTCTTTCTTTCTTTCT